CGGGAAAAAATGGAGTTCGCAGCAATTCCTTATATGCATAAACTGGCACATGGGTTAAAAAATGTTGGTTCCCGCTACGGAGTTGATGTGGTTTTTAGGGCACCCAATAAATTGGGAAAGATATGTGCATTGGTGTCAAATCAGCTAGACAAGAAGGACAAGCCAGATGTAAAAAAATGTGCTGTAAACCATAGAAATAAGTATGTGCCTTGTGCTGTGGGGGTGGTGTACCGCATTCCTTTATCTTGTAGTCTTCATTATGTGGGACAGACGGGCCGCTGTGTTAATAAAAGGTTGCGGGAGCACTATCTCTCTTTGCATAACGGCACGCCTTCCCATTTGGCTTCGCATTGTGCCACGTGTGGGTGCACACCTGATCTGTCTAACACTGTTATTATTTTTAAGCACCACGATCAATTCACCCGTGAGGTGTCTGAAGCCTATCATATTAACAAGTCACGTGATGCTTGCGTAAGCCAGACCTCGGTTACATTGCACAAAAAAAGAGTTCACTTTTATTGATGAGCGTATCATTTAATCTCGTTGTACCTCACTTGTCATGCGCGGCTTTTTCTTTTTAAATTTTTGTTGCTCGGATTATACTTTCAGTTGTGAGTGCAGCGCTGTTTGTGGTTCTCTTCTTTGTCTCCGTCTTTTTGTGTGCCGCTTTTCTTTTAATATGCATATACCTAATAGTTTCTATGTTCCAGGCCATTCTAGTTTTGGAAATCTGGCTGAAACCGTGTAATCGCTATAAGTGCTAGCACTTTGGCTTGTTTTAACTCGACGGCTAAAGTATCCGCAGTGCGGATACCGTGAGTTCTTGCGAAGGTGGACCGCGCGGACGCATGGCCCCATCGCCCCATGCGATCTTGCGACGCATCTATTTGGGGTTTCGCGCATGCGCAATGCCGCCGCCCCAACGTCCTGCGTACGCAAGCCGCTTGGGTACCCAGCACTAAAACTCCCTATTCTTACACCGTGTTACTAGCGTACAAATATGCGTTTAAGGAAAAAAGAGCAGATGCGCTGGACTTCTGTTTCTCGGCTTCGCTCGCGTCGATCATGCACATCGGCCAAGAGGCGGTGTTGGAGGTGGGGGTGGCAATCGCAGTAATCGATCAATAGAAAAGTATTAGTCGATTAATTGGACTTTTTTAATGGTGTAAATTGATTACAAATAACCAATTAACGGTGAACCTTTAATAGATCAATTGATTGGTTCTTTATAGATTTTACCATGTATAATAGCTCACAGTGTACTCAGAGACACAGATGAAGAGGATACACACAAAAACAAGTGCTCTTCGTCTTGTCTCTGAGTGAACTGTGAGATATTATGTATGTTCACCAACTAGCCCGGTCAAAAACCTTGTTACCATTCCTAGCCGCTTGAATGATGTAATGACCTGCTGGCATCGTTATAACCACATCATATTGACTACACTTGTTATTCAACTAAGCTGCACAGCACAGCAAAGCAATATGCAGCTATTTTTTTCAGAAAAGGGCAAGGCTACTGCGAAATGGAACACGCAGAAAGCGACAGCACTGGCAAGAATGGTGGCACCGCGTCGATGCAGACGGGCGCCGTAGCCCACAATCGTTTTCGAGAGCCACGATTTCGCGATGCTTTCCAGCATTTGAGCTACGTCGGAGGGCGCTCTCTCGTCCACGTTTTGTAGAGAAGAGTCAGTGCCGCCAGTAGCCTTGATGGTGAGTGTGGAACACTCTATTTATGTCTGGTTGCGTCACGTAGCACGCGATATTATTACGAGCTGGCAGCTGAGCTATAAACGCTCACATGCTACCTGAAAGCGGCAAGTCTGCCAGAAGGAGGCTCTCGCTATAAATGATAGAAAGAAGTGGAAATGTTGAGGGCTCGTTTTTCTCTCCTAGGTACAACATTACTTGTGTCTATACAACAGCTTCTTTTCTTGAAGTGGCCATATTCTCTCACAAGCATTTAACAGCGGAGATTTGAAGCTCAGGTGAAACGGGCGTAATATCGTCCAGCACACAACTTTAACATGCGCGAAAACAACCCGTAGGAACATATAGAAACGCGGGCTGTATTTCACATAGCATAGCCAAGTATAGTATATACGGTATATGCGTTTGTATGTGTGCATGTTTATATACGCAAGCGAAATTGATACATTTCAAGGGGAGGTGTTGAACCCCCCCCCCCCCCCCCCCCCCCCCCAACTACCTCTAGAGAGTGTGAGCAGAAGGTAGAATATGGAATATTAAGCGGAGGCGAATGGAGACGGAGGTGAGTTGGAGGTGGGACATGTGCAAGGGGTCAAACAGAAGAGAGATTCCTTCTGTGCTATGGCATGTCCATATTCGTCTAGCTATGCACCAATTCGCATTTCATTTCTCAGGCTTTCCCTAAGCTTTTTACGGCCTTTACAACATTTGCAATTGCACTCATTGCTTCGCCATTGTAACGAAAGTGATTTCTTAGAAAGAAATGTTCTGGACCTTCGGAATTCAAGAAAAAAAAAGAAATACATCATATCCCGCTAAAGGGAACCGTGTGTAGATGCGAAGCAGCGGTAGCTAACGCTTACGCTGGTGGCAGCGTTGACGCTGGCGCTCATCGCGGCGTTGCGCAACAGGGAAACCTTGGTAGGCGCAAAGCACGCAGTGATGGACCGGTGTTTTCTACTGGAACATGCCAATCGCTGCTAATGGGCAATGAGAGACAGAGGACTCCGATTGGACACAGAGACCGGCTGTACACTTTTACATAACGCGCATGCTGCGAATTTTTATTGTTCAACAACGCACAGGATAGATCTTCCACCGGCACTACCTCAAAGGTGAGGTATATATGTTGGGTGGCCAGAGGCGAACGTGCGCATCGAGGCACTCCACAGTAAACAGTTGCGCAGAACGAACAGTCTCTCTCTTTTTTTGCAATCAAGAAACTCTCTAGCAGACGCTGTCCGCGGCGGCGTTGCGAGGTGAGGGAGGGGGCAGCGTAGGAGAGGAGGAGACGCGCATACGCAATGGGGGTGTGAACGCCGCGGGAAGGGATGCCCAGAGGAGGGGAGGAAACACACATGTGCAGTAAAGGTGGTCACGCCGCTCACCGGATTGAACTCCGCTCTCAGATTCTTCGCATCGAAAACCCAAGCCTGAAGTTGCTCGAAATATTGTATGACGAATGGGAATGGACAACATGTTGTTGTGGCTGCCTCAGCTTTGTTGAAGATCTGTCGTCGCCAGCTGTTCTCTATAGCATGAGCTACACTGGCCGAGGCTGAGCAGATTCGCGTAGCTCCTGGAGAACCGTTCTGCGCGTGCGTGAGGAGCAGTGACGTCATACGGTGCACAGCTGGTGTGTCAGAGCCCCCACCGACGCGCCCTCTGCCGGTCTCTGCATTCCACAGGAGTGAGGTCACAGCCACGGCAGACACACTGGTGCCAGTTCTGGTACACTGCAACGTCGGCGCATGCCCAGCTGGGCGCCTTCGTTGCGTAGTAGCCAATTCAAGTCTGACGCTGTGCCGGAGCCGCTTAATAGCACCTTTATTTTGAGCACATGCGCAGAGGTATCGGGGGGGGGGGGGGGTATACATATAGTGGTGCATTTGCCGCGGTGATACTGTCACGGAGAAGGAGAGCGAAATCAATGCTGAGTGGCGTAGAAGAACGGAGAAGCCTAACTCACTGGATACCGAAGTAGCTGCCTGGCAATTGGCAGTTGAGCGCCGGAATAACGAACTAAATATAGCTAAACGTGCGGCGGAGACACCGGAGCATAGGAGGAACGTCTAGCAATGCAGCGTCGCCAGGGGGCTGAGTGACGTGCATGACCCAAGGTCCTTAGATGAAACAAGTTGTTTCATGTAGCGACCTTAGCATGACCATCTCAGCAGCAGCAACAACAAGCCGCTGTCGATGACATCAAGGCTCACCGATTGACTGATAATACCGTACTTGTGTATGTCCAGTCCGTCTTTGTACGGTAAAAAGCACGTTAACGCAAGAGACAAAGACCAAGACACGGTGAAACTTGGCGAAAGCACCAGTGCGACTCAGACTTTCTAGACGGACTTCGTAAACTATGACCTTATAGTCCATGCTACGTATATCCTGGCATTGCCAATCTAAGCCGCTGTTTTTTTTTCTGCTGTCTCCACAATATTTTTACGGTTAAGAAAGAGAAAAAAGTTGTCGAGAACACACTCGTGTTTTCTGAGCCTCGATCTGTTGATTTCACCTACATGTGTTGCATGCGATCCCGTAAAAAATGACTTTACTGAAGTTTACGCCTAGTACACCATTTAGGTGCATTGAAAGTACGACTGACTGCACTGGAAAATGAAAATTACTGAAATAATATAATTTGTTATCGATTTTAGTTCAATGCATCATTTCCAGCCTGCTTCCACAACCTACCCTAGCGTCGCGCCCATCAGCTCGCTCTGCACGACTCGGCGAACCAACACTGCTATGCTGCCGCTGTTACATAGCCCGATTTAGCAGTCTAAGGCATCGCCGAACAAGCCAAACGGATCGTCAGAACGCCACGATGTGGTGCTCTCACGTGACTGCCTTCTGTCTCTTGGATCACTACATACACATGCTGGGAACTGAAACAAACATTATGAAAGTTAATTATTTTTATGTAGCCTTCAGGGATTTCTTCCTGTCACTTTTATTAGGGCTTGAAGTCCAGGATTCGATTAAAACAACAATTGGTGATGCACTACACCCCTCTTTCGATTGGCTCTCATATTCGACTTACTATAACCAAAGTTTCCTCACAGCCTGTACAGTCACGCCTTTGCAAATCGTTCCTGTCGCACACACGGTGGGCGATCGTAGAAAAGCGGGTATGCACCTCGCGACCACATGCAAAAGCTGGCGTTTGTTTACACCTTCGTTGTGTATGTGTGACTGAAACGAACCTTTGCGAACTCTTTATAAAAATGGGCTGAGACACCATCTACGCCTAGTTATCTCTTGCTTAGAAAAGATGCAACTTTTTTTTACGTCAATTTGTGAAGCAGATTTTATTTTACAGAAACCAAAACAAGTGTGGACAGTAAAGAGGAAGTATTTACATAAATGCAAAGACATGATGAGCATGACGACATTATTTGTACTCTCTCTCTCTCACCAAATGTAAATGTTAAAATAAAATCTTTTTCATTGCTGAATATCGACTGGTTGCGTGTACATCATAAGTCACAGTGTTGACACATTTTCCAGCACATGGAGAGTGACAAGAACATGTTTAACATATTGTGTATTGTGTTTACTGAATCACATTTCGCAATAATAATAAACAACGACGTATTTTAGGCATTGCACTTACAATGTTAAACACGCTTAAAAGCTCCACAAAAGACAAGGCCGTGCAAAATAGCGTGTGTTGGTGCTGGAAAATGAAAGGATACTGGTTTGTGGAAGTCTCCCTTTTTACTGGAGAACATCGTAACAACACCTGTGAATCATTTTTTTGTTGTTAAGACTCGATATTTTGTTTTAGGTAACAAGTTTGCTAGCAGCATGAAGTGGTTATCATGCATAGCTTCTACACCTGTTTTTCAAATGACAGTACTTTTATATTCATATTTCAAATTAGGGCGTTAACAAACTTGGGGTTGTTCACACAAAACAGTCATAAGATGGAATATTCCCGATCGGTTACTAACGCAAGGAAAGTACAACGTTCTTTTTTAGTTTTTTATTTGCGAAATATGTCATTTTGTTCATAAGGCGATGTGCACCATTGGACCTCATTCGTGCACCGCTGCACTTTCAAATTGCAGTGGGCTTATTCACCGCCATTGAAAAGAGATGCTAGTATTCTGTTTTCTTTTCTCAAGACACAGCGTAGAATTGTAGATGCTCTTCAGATAGCTTCTACAGGTGTAAACAATGACAACTTTCTGCCTTTTGCACGGCCCCGTTTTCTCAGCACAAGACACTGGTGCGGCAACACACACAGATGGAGGTTCAGCGGTCAGCGCAAGTGGGACGCTTACAAGCGGATCGCTCTTCGTAGGCGCTGTATACTGAAATGTCTACCAGTATGTAGCACTCGGAGAGCTGCTTGTCAATTGCAGCAGTCGCTAAGAAGGGGCATCGGACTAACGCGGCTTCTCGCTCGTGCATCAAATGGCTGGTCTGGCGCGCTTGTGCTGGAACTCTTGTAATGAGCGTCTATGGAACAGCTTTTTGCTCAGCGCCTATAGCGTTCACGCGTCCCCCGGGGAAACGTCATGAGCCCGACGTAGTCTTCTGCAGCTGCTGCTACGCTTGCCTGCCGTCGATGGATAGGGTATCGCGTTCAGTCGGACACAGGGATTGAGGCACGTGCAAGCGCTCGGCGGCTGGTGGTTTGTAAACAGCAACATTGATCTGTGAGGCGGCCTCGAATTTCATTTCAAATATAACGTCAACGTTTACCGTATACGAGTTCAACATACGTTTGAACACGGCTCTACGGGAGGGGCACAAACGGGATATTACACTTATGTCTGAAAGGCAAATTTAAGAAGAAATCACTGCGGGGTGCTGAAAAACGAACTACGTGAACAGCTGGCGGAACACCGGAAGAAAAACTATCTTCAGCTGCCCTTGCGTTGCACACTGAAGAGAGCAACGTACATACATTGTTGAACATTTGTGCGCATTGAGGAGACGGCCATTGCACTTTAGAGAACATTGCACTTGAAGATACCAGCAGGAATGGCCGCTTAATGCTGCCAGTTTAGGCTCGCTTGAAGCTATAGGCTAAAAAAATAGCTATCGTGTCCTCTGCGGCACCCTTGAAATTTAACACGACCCAGCGCGAGTCCGCTGCTTCGCGTAGACAGTAATGGGCATGAAGTCAATCCCTGAAATGAGCGATACTTACATAATAAATAACATCCAATTTTCATTTTACACCGAGCTATTCACAGCTTTTTACAGAGGACGCTGCCTCGTGCAGGAAGCGTGCGCCGCAGGCCTGGATGTGCAGCAGCGTGTGGCCGCCCTGACGCCCATCAGGCAGCAGATGCGCGACTAGGCAGCTTCTTCACACGGCCGCGTGGTGCGCGGTGAACGAGAGAGAGGACTCGCTCTCGGAGGAACTGGGTGGCGTGTCCAGCACAGGAATAGACAGGTCCAGGTACTCCTGCGGATGCACAAAAGTTGTTCGTTACCGGTAAACCGAGGACAGGACACTTGCGAAGCACGTTTGGTTCGTCAGCTGTGACCGAGGTGTTTCCCTTGTGACTGCGCCACTTTCTGCTCGTTTATACGTGGTTATAAACCCTTCCCGGCAATAAAGCGTGCCACGTCGCGTTGCAGAAAAGCAAGCGACTGCTGCACGAACGCCCTGTTGTTCAGGTCAAACTGAATGCAAAGGTCAAATTGCGAGTCTCCAGTTTCAGGCGGCATTACTTTTCGCCGGGACGGAAACGCTTTCACGACGTTTATACGATGCTTCTTTATGAGTCACACGACCCACCGTGGTGCTGTTGCGCTATAATAATCTCGGGGGCGCGGGTTCGATTTCATCCACGGCGACTGAATCTCAATGGATTGAAATGCAACCTCATAATGCTATCATTGTTTTGATGCACAAAACCCCATCATTTATTATTAAATGTAAATTCCTAAATCATGCGAAAATAGCGGATGGGGGCTATACGCAGCACCGATCACCTCGAGTATCTTTTAGCGTTGATGAGTTATTAGGCTTTCATGATTGACAGAATAGCTGGTTAGGATGCATATTCTCTCGAACAAGTACCGTCGTCAGCATAGTTAACTCGAACGCTTTGCCGAGTGGCCTTTGCCACCTGGCTAGATGGATCAATATGCTATGAGCGTCCCCTTTATAACGGCGGGGTGACATACGCGCTACCAGAACAGACAAAAAGAAAAAGAAAAATGTATTTTTAAATTGGCCTGATGGCTTCACAGCCTAACTCTATACTCGATCCGGTAGGATGAACTCATTTTCCCCACTTCTTATTTTGTGCGGGTGCTGACACCCCCTGTAAAGTTGTTCGCGTCGTGAGGCGCAGGTGTCTCGCGCAGAAGCCGTATTTTCGGGTCGAAACAATTGAGCGGTGGGTGGAACTGTGTTCGCCAGCGTTGATCACCACTATCATCATCATAGTTAGATCGGTAGCGCCGGAGGTGACCCCTGGCGGCAAGCCTTGGCGGCGGCACGGGGGAATGGAGTGAGTGTCTTCTGCGCGTGGCGTTTGGCGCGAACGGTTGTCTCTCGCGGTGTGTCCCCGGCGCACGGCACCGAGGGCCGTCTGCCGGGGACCCTCGTGGTGAGTCGGGCATTCGCCACCTTGTGTATGTTGTTGAGTGTACGGTAATATTGTGTAAAGATGTATCAGCGCGTTGATCCTGATTGATGTTATAATTATTCTGTTGACGACGTCGTCGATCAGAAGGTAGGTAAATAAATGTGCGTTGTTCGGGTTTGGTTTGACCGCGTCTACTGCATGCTTCCGTGTTCCAAGAGCGTGGCGCGCTGTCCATTGCGAGACCCCAGAATAATAATGAAATATGTGGAAAGAAAAGTGGACGAAAAGATAATTTGCCGTGGGCAGGAACCGAACCTGAAACCTTCGAATAACGCGTTCGATGCTCTACCCATTGAGCAGGCCAGGACGAGACCGGGGCTATCCCCCGGTCTCGTCCTGGCAGACTTGATGTCTTCAGGTGGTATGTGAGAGACTATTGGTCAGATGCCAGATCTTAACAATATCACGTGCTACTTGACACCAATAGGCAAAAAAAAGTGTGTCCCGTACTGGCCATGACAGCAAAAGGTGGCGCTGACAGACTGTCCCACGTTAAAGTCGATGGGGGGATGGCCACCGTGGTAGCTCAGTTGGTAGAGAAACGAACGCTTTATTCGAAGGTCGCAGGTTTGGCCCCTGCCCACGACGAGTTATCTTTTCGTCCACTTTTCTTTCTTCACATTTACAATTGCTTCCAATAATATCCCCTCTCTTTCGCATCGTTGTGTGTTAGTTCTCATTATTATTAGGAATAGGAGAAGGAATTTGGCAGAATTTTTTAGCCAGCAGTTCATGCTTCATATTTTATATGCCATCAATCATTGATGTAGTAAAGTCTGTGTTGATCGTCCCCTTCAAGCCCTTTCACACGGTGACAATGATCGCCGGACGTTGTGTGTCCATGAAACATATGTTGCATTGAAATATATTGTATCAATATAGTATTTGGGCTTGTTTGCACTCAGTTTGTATCGTAGAATGTCATTTTGAAAGCCAACCAAAAAAAGCAGCCTTCGAGAAATTTTCGGTGGCTAACTTGGCGAAAAGTAACCAAACGCGGTAAGCCGGGCAGTAACATCCCAAACCCTGTTATAACACCTGCGAAGAAGCAACACACAACAGTAGAACACCAGTTTTTCTGTTAATAAAGTCGGTCAAAGTGAAACTACATTCCGTGCTCTCTTTTACGTCATTTTGTTCCTGCATAACATGAACTTTTTGACGGCTGTATTTTTTTTTTTCGCTGCGTAGTTGATTACCTGGTCCGTGGCGAACGTCAAGATCCGGTCGAGGTCTTCCACGAGTTCCGTGAAGGTTGGCCGCTGGTATGGCGATTGGTTCCAGCATTCCCTCATTATCACATACCTGCAATGACACGAGTAAAAACAAATTGTGACCAGCAGTCCAAACTATCGCGCATATTCAACTGAACGAAGCTATATATATATATATATATATATATATATATATAATATATATATATATATATATATATATATATATATATATATATATATATATATATATGTGTGTGTGTGTGTGTGTGTGTGTGTGATATAACAGACAGTAATGCCAAGAAATGTATTGGGGAAGTTATTAGAACAAATGCAATGTCAATAAGCAGAAAGAAAAGTGGGTGAAAAAATAACCAGCCGTGAGCAGGAGTCGAACCTGCGACCTTCGAATAACCCGTTCGATGCTCTAACCACTGAGCTATTCCTGCTCATGGCTGGTTATTTTTTCACTCACTTTTCTTTCTTCTTATCGACATTCCATTTGTTCTAATAACTTCCCCTATACATTCCTGTCTGTTAGATCTCATTAATATTGCGTCAAAACACGGAAAAACGAGCCCTTAGGTATACACTTCTTTCCCTTATATATATATATATATATATACCGGGTGTTCAAAATTAAGCTTTATGATTTTTTTAAAATTAGGCGCTCGAAGGCACGTGAGAACCACTTGTGCAAATAAGTTAAGCGGCCAGGGGGACAGAAAGTTAGATGATAATTATCGCTGTCAGCAGCCCAATTAACTAAAATTTAATAATTAACTTTTTACTGGCTGCGGTAAGTTGGCATGTTTATATTGAAAAAATGTAGGCAGTGGTGTTTGTACACAGTTTCAGTTGGAAGATTTTTTCTAGCACGCCTGTGTTCCGAGATATCCGGCTCCAAAGTTTAATTGTCTTTCGCACGATTACGCATGCAAGAGGGTGAGGGTCCGCGCAAAGCTCCTCCCTAAAGTGACGCATCTGTTGCGTGTGGTGTTTAGTGTGTGAAGAGGGTGGAAGCGTAGGCATAGGTGATAGCAATTACCCTTGCCCTCTTCGGCCGTCGAAATCAAAAATCGAAGAACGCTTGCAACCAGTGTCGTAACACGCAACTGCAGAGCCTCTAACGATAGTGGCAGATACCATGCCGAGATAATGGTGCGAGCGGAGAATCTGGATGCCAGTGCGCGTGCGTAATAATCACTAGAGAAGCATGCGTGGTCGTTGCCTGGGCTACGCGAATAGCGTGACTGCTGATGTCCGAGTACTGTAACTTTTATTGAAACAAGAGCAACAACTCCACCAATAATAACTGAAACAGTTTTATCCTTGCTAACGCATATTTCCTGCTGCTACATAAGCATATTTCGGTCATGCACAAATCTCATCGAAACTCTTCACCTCTCAAGACGTCAATGCCCCAAAAAGTGTTCAAAATGCCTGCCTTCGGCAGCAACGCAAAGCATGAACCGCTGTCGCGTCGACTCGATGACTCGGCGCAGTACTTCTGCAGGAATACTCGCACAGGCAGATGTTATCCTGTCCTTCATGTCATTAACATCGCTGGGCTCTGTTACGTAAACTCGATCTTTAACGTAGCCCCAAAGGAAAAAGTCGAGCGGAGAAAGGTCAGGTGATCTTGGTGGCCAAAACATCGCTCCTGCGCGCCCAATCCACTGTTGTGGAAAACGTCTGTCCAACCAGTTCTTCGCCCTGGTAGAAAAATGTGGTGGTGCTCCATCGTGCTGAAACCATACTTGGCGCAGGTCATTCAGGGAAAGACTGCAGACAAGATCATCAATGACAACACCTAATATTTCTTCTGTGTACATCTTTCCGTTCAAGTTGTCCTCAAAAAAGTGAGGTCCGATGATCCTGTCCCCGAGTATGCCGCACCACACATTCACACTCCAGCGAACTTGATGCTTGTGCTGCCTCAGCCAGTGTGGGTTTCTTGTGCCCAATAATGGGCGTTGTGAAGATTAACACTTCCATTTCGGCAAAACCGAGCTTCATCAGTCCAAATTATTCTGTGCAAAAAGTCATTTTCTTGATCAGTTTTGATGAGGCCCCAATTGCAGAAGTCAACTCGCCTTTCAAAGTCCGCCTCATTTAGGTCCTGATGAAGGTAAACCTGATATGGATGGAACTTGTGCTTTCTTAAAACATTTGTGACTGTTCCGATGCTGCGACCGCACTGATCGGCAATCTGTCGGATGCTGAGCTCTGGCATCGAGGTTACGCACGCGACAACGTCGATTTCAAAGTCTTCATCGACGATTGCCTTCCTGGTCCGTCTCGGAAGGTGGACAGAGCCTGTTGTGCAGAAGCGTCGAAACAGGTTTGTGAAAGTGGGCCTTGTTGGAAGGGGACGGTGTGGGTGGCGAGACGCGTAAAGCTCCATTGCTAACGAAGCGTTGCCATTCATTTCAGCCATTGCAAGCACCACGTCTACTTTTACTTTGGTAGAATACCTCACGCCAGAAGCAGCCATATTAGCTCGAAAGGACTCCACGTGGATTTCCTTGGTAGACCTTCAATGCAGAGACGCTGTGCTCTAACCGGAGGCACCCTAGTGCAGGACGGTCCTGCTAACGCGTTCACAAGAAGATGTCTCAGTGTGATCTAAAGTCACGAAAAAACGTCGCGAAAAATGGTCTCCTGTTATCGCGTTCATCAGGATCATGCGTAAGGCTCATGGCGCACCGCGCTGTCACATTTTGATTTCGCCGGCCGAAGAGGGCAAGGGTAATTGCTATCACCTATGCCTACGCTTCCACCCTCTTCACACACTAAACACCACACGCAACAGATGCGTCACTTTAGGGAGGAGCTTTGCGCGGACCCTCACCCTCTTGCATGCGTAATCGTGCGAAAGACAATTAAACTTTGGAGCCGGATATCTCGGAACACAGGCGTGCTAGAAAAAATCTTCCAACTGAAACTGTGTACAAACACCACTGCCTACATTTTTTCAATATAAACATGCCAACTTACCGCAGCCAGTAAAAAGTTAATTATTAAATTTTAGTTAATTGGGCTGCTGACAGCGATAATTATCATCTAACTTTCTGTCCCCCTGGCCGCTTAACTTATTTGCACAAGTGGTTCTCACGTGCCTTCGAGCGCCTAATTTTAAAAAAATCATAAAGCTTAATTTTGAACACCCGGTATATATATATATATATATATATATATATATATATATATATATATATATATATATATATATATATATATATATATCGTACCCGCGACCTCCGGGTCGTGGGTACGACATGCCACAGTAGCGGACACTCATTTGTCTTTACTTCTTGTCGCTGGGCAAGGTCGCTACGATTGTAACATTCGATCTGTTGGTTAAGATGTACGGGAAGTAGTGTTTACATATGGGGTATTCATTTTGTTAGAAGCAGACCAGAGAATTTAGGGCATCAGGTCAAGTTGGAACATCATACGATGGACGAGTTCAATAACACTAAAAAAAAAGAAGAAGAAAAAGACCATTGCGTGTTTTGAGCCCGTAAGGCAGCTTTTCTCTTTCCGGTCTTCTAGCGAGCTTAGCACTACCTTTAGTATTCCTTCAGTGCAGCTGTCTGGCTGAACTTTTTTTCTTTACCGCCGATTATCGGCGGCACGAGCATGCATTGATATTTCCAAGCGAAAAACAGCGTAAAACATCTGGAAGACCCCTAATCTGTTCTAGAGCAGATTACATGTTACGTTGCACTTTAGCGTTGAACGTTACTGGATTCATTACTGGAATAACGTTACTGAATTAAAATAACATTAGTGAATTACGTTGAACGCCAACGGATTACCGGCTTCGGTAACTTCCTTCAGATGAAAAGGTCCCGCATGTTGCTATTTCGAAGCGCAATGAGATATTGCAAAAAAAAAAAGAGTTGCACACTGGACTTGACAAGTCGTACTAAATACCTATGTCTCACAAAAGACGGAACGGTTATTGAGCAGAAGCGGACGCACGCTCGCATCTCCACGATAAAGGTGATCAAGGCCATGGCCAGCTGTGCGAACCCTGCGGACTCCACAGCATTATACGCTCAGTGTGAAAAGCACAGAAAGTATAACCGTCTAGCAGAGTCCCACCAAGTGGGATTAGCTTTCTTAGCTTACTTCCCCTTCTTTGTGCCGTAATTCTAGGTTCTTGTTTCGGTGTTCTTTTCTTAGTAAGGAGGACTTGATGGATCCCTGAACACAGCTATAGCAGCCCCATCTACCATTCTCTAGACCACGGCCTGGACAACGAGGAATTCATTCTCAGCATTAGCTCGCACCGTTGTGCAATCGATCATATGCAACATCGGAGACCACGCAAAATGAATTTGGTGGTTAAGCATGCAAGGGGGGAAGCGCGAGATATATGTGACCGACTGAAGTGTACGCAGATCATGAATGGTGCGTTTAAGTAGCTGTTTATTTCAGTGCTTTCTATTAACCTTTAGGCCGTATCAATCAAGTGCATTTTCTGAACGCACACACGTGCCGTGATACGCCATACAACTTCCTCCCCCCCCCCTCCAACCACCACCGCTTCAATGCTAACAGTATAGTCAGACACTAAACCTTCGCGAAGGACGCACTCTACCTGAATTTTTCGCTAGACAGTTATCCATGCCAGCTTAATTTTCTGTACTCGAGAGAAAAAAAATAACGGGTTTAAGTTGACGTTCTTTGGTAGGCGCTATTCAGCGGTACTGAGATTGAAGAGCGTCAAAATTTCTGTATCTAGACGAACCCAATGATGGTACTCACACTTCAAGCGAACAGCCTTGCGGTTTCTCCATCCTGTGTCCGTCTCTGAGCAACTGGAACAGCTTTTCGATGGGCACAGACGGGTACGGAGTGCCACCAAGTGTCATGATCTCCCAGAGAAGGATGCCGTAGGACCACACGTCGCTCTGCGTGGTGTACACTCGATCGAACAGAGCTTCGGGCGCCATCCACTTGACAGGCAGACGTCCGTCAGACTTCTTCTTGTAATAGTCGATGTTGTGCAAGTCCCGCGCCAGACCGAAGTCGGCGATCTTCATGACGTTGTTCTCCACGACCAGCACGTTTCTCGCTGCCAGATCACGGTGAATGCACTGCGCAGAATGATCAAGACGTGTTCGAGCGCTTGCATTACAGTACAACGTGGTGGACGGCGTGGTTGTCTACAAGCGAGCACTTGAAAAAAAAAATTACTATTGCGAGGTTAGAAAGCGCACGGAAAGTTGTTTTTTTTTAGATATGCAACATCAAGCGTACATAACATCTGTAGCGACGAGCTAAATGCGTTGTATACTGTCTCAACCTATGTGTTATCACACTGCACTAGAGTTTTTCAAAAGAGCAGCAATCCCACATGAAGTATCTATATATTATTGAAGAGGAGCCATGTCCTGCAAAACAGCTCTAGAGCATTCATAGCAGTGTGCTCCCGTTGCACTTCGCGACCGTTTACCCCGTCCTTTGGTTTAGACGTACTCGTGAATGAATCGAATTGGTAGACGTGTGTCAATTCTGCATCGCTTACCTTTTTAGAGGCAAGGTATTCCATCCCACGAGCAACTTGGTACGCAAACGAGACCAGGTCCTTGTGCGTCAACGTCTTTGGTTTCAAGTCAGCCCCGATGGCTTGCTCGTAACCAGAGCTCGGACGGTGGGTGCGCAAGAAGTCGCGGAGGTTTCCGTGGGCAGCGTACTCGACTATCACATGAAGCGGGCCTGCAGGAAATGTACAAGGAACGCGACCGTTAACATTCTTACGTGCATTCACGCACTAAGTGCTGACGACACACAGAACTCTATATAAGTGCACATGTAAGGCGGATATATGGAAGACTCCACGTGTGTGAGGTTGTGAGTGTTACGCTTTCAAACGCCGTAAGAGACGTCACTACAATCAGGGGTCCCAGCTGGTTAGTTTACAAACTGATACAGTTCTTAGAAGTGTGGCAGCTTGGGCTAGTGGGTATGACATGACGATAGTTATAGCACGAGAGCAGAACGACGACACAGAGTGTCCTTCTTGTCTTTGTGTCGTCGTTCTGTTCTCGCGCTATAACTATCATCATGATACAGTTGCCTGAAAAAATCGTGATATGAAATGTGGGCGAAAGCAGCCCTTGCACGTGGGAATAAACGTATCTGCAATACGGCTACTGCAGCCAATCCTTCGCTCCACACTCTAAACCACGTCGGTAGAAAGCCAGTTAAATATATTTGAATTGCACCAGAATGAAAAAAAAAAGAAAAAGTGATTGTTTAGGCATAATAGACTCTTTGCAGTTGAAATCATATATGTCTACTTGCCGTCTTGCGTGCAACATCCAAGCAGGTTAATAATGTTGATGTGTTTTCCGATGGTCTTCATCACCTCCATCTCGGAAACGAGGTTGGCCATTTCGCTGTCAGTATGCCCATCTGCGAATATAGTCGTACTCAGAAGTGTGATTTATACTGCGTGGTGCAGTTAGTCACAAAATAATGTGCGCTACGAGAGTTATAGAAAATACATTTGTGAGCCTCCTTACACGTGCAACAGCAAATGATAACATCATTAATCGTTGACAAGTAAACGACTGTATTCTTCTGAAAAGAACTCACCTTTCAGCATCTTGACGGCCACGATAGTGGGTCCTTCTTTGTCGCCAAGGCCATACGCCTCTGCCTTGACAACCTGGCCGAATGCTCCCTCTCCCAGAGGCTTGCCGAGGACGAGCCTGAAAGATTAGTAATGAGTCTAATAACGCCTTATAGAATGCGTGCCTTACCGGTCGGAAATTCGATGCCGCTACTAATATAAATCAGCATCGTCACATTCTCCACGAGCTCAAACACACAGGAAGAAAGTGGTAATAGAAATAATTGATTGATATGTGGGGTTCAGCGTCCCGAAACCTCTATATGATTATGAGAGGCGCCGTAGTGGAAGGCTCCGGAAATTTTGACCACCTGGGGTTCTTTAATGTGGATCCAAATCTGAGCACACGAGCCTACAGTATTTTCGCCTCCATCGAAAATGCAGCCGCCGCAGCCGGGATTCGATCCCGCGACCTGCGGGTATAGCCACTAGACCGCCGCGGGGGGGGGGGGGCGTGATATAAATAATCCCTTGACATAAACACGAAAATGCTAAAATACATATCCGAAACAGTACTTATTTGTGGGAGCTCTGACTTTAACAATATTACCCTGACAGTCATAGGCGTGCACAGGGGTTCCCCTTCAGTTGGCGGGGAAGGGGGGGGGGGAGAAGGCTGAAGGTTTTATTAAGTCAACGTATGAGACAGGCTTAGCGCCCTCCTTCCTTTCTTAGGTAAGTAGAAAAGGGTGGCCGGCCCCCCTCGCGCGCACGACTATGCTGACAGTAAAGTTAAGCATGAGCGTCGTTGTTTTTTACGCTGAATGCCGTACGAACAGCAGTGTAAGTTACCATTATAGGATTTGAAAGTGTGTGACATCAAAATGGAAAAAAAAAAACCTCACGGAAGAAATAGTACCTCCTGAGATGAAACACTGTCACCGACCAAAGTCTGGTGATAATCTGACGTTTCCAATGAGCTGGACTCGAAGCCGTTGTCATCGCCAAGGAAAAGAACATGTCATCCCACCGGCTCCTAGAATCTCTAATCATCCAGACAACAGCAGCTACAATGAATAGTGATTTTCTGAATAGGGGCCCCAAACAAATAGCGTCCAGACCACTGCGCATGCGCAAAACCCAAACCGCGATTGGGTTTTGGGTTGATGAGGACGCTTTTTCTTGAATTTAGTGCGAGCCCCAAAGTCTTCCCCAAAAGCTTTGCGTCGGACAAAGGTGACGGCACACATTGAAGCGACGGCTGTCCTCCAGCACTACAGTGACAAATGTCCAAAGCGTTGTAGACCCTATTCGAAAATTCTTCGCTCCTGCTTGACCCAAAGCGTGCAAATGCAAAAGGCTTTGGGGCCTCAAACTTATGGGGCCCCTATTCGAAAACTCCCTAATGTATGCCTGTCATCTACGCACACTAGTTGCGTCGCTTACTGGCTCAATAATTGACAACGACTTCTGGTCCAGCTCACTGAACAAGGAACCCGTGTGCGGTTCCGAAACGTGAGATCATCTGCCAACTTGGTCAGTGACCGTGTTTCATCTCAATCGATGCCTGACCACACGACCTGTCATTGAACTCTTGACTAAGTAATACCTCTTCATGAGGCTCTTCAGCATATATGTTGAAAGGCAGTGGCACTTACCTTTCCCTGGGAAATTCCCATTCAGGATCCAGAGGCAACTCGTATTCGCAAACGGTGTTCAAGTCCGTTGACATGAAGCCCCTCTGGTGGTCGATCTTGACTAGTGGAGCTATGGAGGAGTCTTCATAGTGTCCAGAATCCTGTTCAGACATAAGTGCATGCAGGATATGCAATTTATTTGCTTGCTTGTTACGTAGATTACCCAGTCAATAACTGGTAATGTATATGATCGCGAATTGCAGTGGCACCTATACGCAACACTTATCGCAACATTTCTCCATTTGGCTTTTGCACTCGAAAAGTAATGTGTTGCAGCCGCAGATTGATAACGCGCGAAGGTTGTCGGTATATGCGTCGACATAACGTCGCTTGTGGGGCATGTTTTGGGCCCCCGCTGGGGCAACAAATATAGCAGTGCTGACATTTACAGCAGTATATATGTAATTCATGGTTTGGTTGGTTAGCTTACCGGATTTCAAGTGACAAAGTGACATCCTTAACAAATGATAGATTTTGATGATCATGCACCTCGGAAATGAGCTTAGGTATGCCGAGAGATTTTGAAATCGTATGTCCATAGGGCGTCATTATCGTCGGCAGTAAAGGGAGTTTCGTGGTTTGTCGCGTCATGCGTATACGACAAGCAGGTGCTCACCGAAACGTGACGCTCGAGGATGACCTTCTTACGGACGACCTCATGCTGCTTCTGGGCTACGTCGAGCTTCTGCTGCAGTGACAGCATGGCGGAGCGGCAGACGAGCGTGGTGATGACGCCCACTATGGCGCTCACGCCCAGCACAGTGGCCAGCGCCAACATCCACGGATGCTTGAGGAGCGTCATGGTGAAGCTGGACTTCTCAGGTTGCGGCACTGCGAGCACGCGGGTGTACCGTGATCAGAAACAGTGATATTTGGCTCTGTTTTGGAAGCACTCGCTGGTCAATGGTTAGCAATAATTGTACTCCTCAAGCTGCAACGGCACTTAATTGGTATATACAGTCTCAGGCGACAGGTTTTCACATTCTAGTGGCCTAATGATTTGCATGCATGCTTGAATATGATCGGGGCATTTGGTAAATAAAGTTATCGGTACTTTCTCGTTAATGCACTATTTCGCAACGCGCTACACGTCAGTTGACTGCTCAGCTCACTTACGTGAGCGAAGGTGTCGGTACGCTTAGGCAGCCGGCGACGTTAGTAGAGGGGAAGAGAGAAAGCTAGCCGATTATCGAGCTGCCTGTAGGACCATATATCGGACGAGGCCCCAAAGCCCTAAAAGCAGCGACACCTCTACTCTTCACTCACGACCTCACTCCCACCCCGCTCCTCTGCTTCGCTCGCTGAAGTGGTCGTCAGTCGCGTCGAGAACCTCTTTTACGTTCGTGTTTGGAACGTGTCTATTAGGGCGTATTTTTTTGCGGCAAAGTTCTTGAAGGCGCGGGTCTGTGCACCCCTTGTATGTATATATGTGACCGCCTATAGTTCCACCTTTGCAAACTGCCGACTACTTCGTCCTTGCAAACATCCCATTATATACGCCCCATCACCACTTCACCGACCATAAAGCCGTTATAATGAAGGGGGAACGGAAGCGACGTATAGCTAACGATTAATAAAATTTCTTGTATAAATATATACAGTGTTTGCCACGTATTTGATGATGTACTGGCCAATATTCGCGGATGGTTCATGCATGGTTTATCGCTTCCAGCGCTTCGCCCCACTGATCATCATTCCGTCCGTTTATATGCTGCAATTTTTTTTATTAGATCCCCCAAAATAAGTGCACTGTCATTAAGAGTTATGCAGGTGATGTTCTTGAGTGCGAGCACTCTTGCAGGAGAGGTCCGATACTCTTTCAGGCATTTGTGTCTTCTTGTCAGCCTTTTAGACGGGGGAACGGCAACGACATTTTTCTCTTTGCGTTAGTCTAAACACAAAAGAGCGAGCGAATAGGGTGTGAAGTCAATGAAAAGGCGCGCCGTACTCACATGGCTCGACATTCAAATAGACGCTCTTGTTGCTGATGCCAACGCTATTGCCAACTAGACAAGTGTACCAGCCTTCGTCATCCATCGTAACGTTGTCGATCACGAGGACTCGTGGATCATCTATGCTCTGATTCGCACTCTGTGGGGGATGTAAGAGATTAAACCATGAAAAACAGAATGTGAAAAAAAAAAACAGCACAAAAATCAACAACGTTAGTAGTATCGTCGTTAGACACACGCTAAAACGTTTGCCTAAGGCTCACGTGTCGCATCTAAGTACTTACCGATTCCTTTTTCGCAATGAAAAGCAAGCAAGAAAAAATCAAATGACCACATCATGCACGACGTTAACGATCGACAATGTCGAATAAGACGGATTGTAGCAGATCCGTCGCGCCTACCTGAACGACAGTGACGTAGGGAGTCGTCTCGTCGTCGTTCTGGAAGTACGAGCCGTTCACCGAGTAATGCCGTAGCCAGCGGATGTGTGGCTGCAGGTCGCTTATAAAACGGCATTCGAAGCGTGCTTGCTTTCCGACGTAGACGGTCAGGTTCTGTATGGAGTCCTCGTAGATGATTGGCCGAAGCGGAATTCGTTCTGAAAGTGTTATAAAATTCGTTTGCCCGGGAAAAATGTACCCAGAAAAACGGGCAACGGCTTGACATCTTTTCACAGCCTCTTGTGCTATAAGAGGGGGTGCTATCATATTCACTTTTCCGTGCAAGGAACTTATGATATAGATTTAGAAATGTTGGCGCCTGGTTTGACTGAATCAACGAGTAATAATTACCCACAAAATTCACGCAAAAGAAGATCTAATCAAACAATATTTTTTTTTGTTGATAGCGCGCTTCCAATGGCGCAGCATTGCTTGCATTTTAGATCAGCGGTTAATATTCCTTGTACACATATTAGTTTAATATGTTCGGTATACTGTTAGTCGCCGGGAGAGGGCGAGCAGACTGATACAAACCTTTGATTTCAACTGTGTAGGTGTAGCTGATGTTCCCCAAAGAATTGACGGCCATGCAGGTATAATTTCCCGCGTCGGACACCATGACGTCGTTCAATGACAACTTGTGTGCCTTGTAAATGACCTGCGAGTGACCGGTTTCATATTCACTGCGATGAACGGTGGTCATCAACACAACATGCTCTGCTTCACAGCTTTGACGAGTGTCTCTTGAAATAGCTGTGATTAGCCGTATAGCTATATGATTATAATGTCGAAGAATTTTTAAAACATCACTCACTCATATTAGGATTTTTGTGCACATTAGTGGAAATAGTCTCTAAACCTTCATAGAAGACAATATAGTCGTGCACTTACGGACACAAGAAAAAGGACACATACATCATAAACGCCGTCTTTATACGATGAATCCCAACCAACCCACTCACGTTTCCGCCATTTTAAATATTAGATTTTTTTGCCAGTAACATGACGTTATAACAAGTACAACAACGTAAAACAACGCCCCTTTAGAAAGATTCCCGTTCATTGTCCAATGACAGGCACATTTTATCAGGCAGCAGATGTGGTTTCCTGTTGAAAGTCGAATTGAAAGCGCAGCTAATGTGATAAACAGCGATGATAGACAATGACTATGAGTGGCCAAGAAGGGTATGATTTCTTTCGCTAGGTGCGCTCCTGGTTCAGATATCGTGAAATCTGAGAAAAAGTGCCCCTTATGCCGTCAACATATGCATTATCTCAAGCGATATTTTTTTTTTTCGTGAAACTAAGTTGGAAACCATTGTTGCGGATCCAACACCTGCGCGTAAATTTCATCCATAACGAGAACGGCAATCGGGACCGCGTTCGGACGAATGTAGATTCGTCCCGAAGTATACCTTTTTCCCCAGCAGTCGCGTCGGCGGCTGATCGTTTTTCAGCCACGTCACGTTCGCCGGGGGGTTGCCCTTGACCAGGCACGGCAACATCACGTTGCTTCCGGCAGGCTGCACCACCAACTGAGGATTCAATTTCACAAAAGTCGGTGGCTCTGAAAGGCAGAGGTATAGGCACAGTCAGTCATCACACCTCTTTTGTCTGCATTATTGTTCTTTTCGTGGAGAGAAGCGCATCCAAATTTGTTGAGCCAGCTGTACGAGGAGAACTATACTCCAGAAAGAGCATGTTTAGGTGATCAAACAGAGTCTGTTTAATTCGTTCTGCTCCAATTTTTGTTTTGTTGATGAACTCTGTATTCTCACACATGTAAACGACAAAACAAAACCGATAGCTGCGAAATAGTTCGACAGACACCGCTATTGAGGGTGTTTCAAACCGCTATGTCATAAATTAAGAACAGTTAAGAATTAAAAACAGTAACCACCTCACGCACAGAAGACAAGAAAGGGTTGCTACGTTATACTCGCTGGGCGTAACCTCCTTGGTTTTAGAAAGGTTTAGCGAGCGTTGGGCCGCAGTGCTATGAATACAGTGAGCTAGTATATACCATGAACTCGAGGTGGTTAAAGGTGGGAAGTAGACACGAAGCGCAAGCCGTGAGAAAGTGTGCGTGTGCCTCCTCCCGTTCAGTCCTTGGAATGTCCGCTGGATTGCGGTGCTTCTATATGGGGAATATATGATGAAAAGATGCGAGATGGTGGTACTTGGAGTGTTGAATAGGTGGACGAACGGACACACAGACAGATGCATGGACGGACGCACGGATGGCTGCACGGACGGGTGGACGCATGGACGGACGCAGGAGCGGATGCGTGGACGTGAGGACGCACGAACAGACGCAAGCACGCACGGACGGGCGGATGGGACGCACGGGCGGCCACACAGACGCACGCATGGACGGACGGAAGCAAGAACGAATGGACGGACGGATGCTTCACCCCACTATCAGCCATTCACTCCGTGGTTGTGCTGCTTTTTTTTTTTTTTTTCACTTGGCGAAGTAACGAAACGCCCTAATGTGCTTTTTCCAGCCTTACTATTATACACGTCACTCAGAGGCGGCTCTTTGCTGCCCCCGAAGTCACCAGTTCACGTTTTCTACTGCGAAGGCCGCTTTTAAATTGGCATCTAAATGCGTGAGCTTATGCAGCGGCATTTAGGTACGCGTTAAAGAACCGTTATAATTTGGGACAAATCAGGAATCGTTTACCACGGGTTGGTCACTGTGAAATTATTGGACGTAAACGCTTAGTATTTTTGAAAATTTTCTTGTGCATTCCATAGCTTGGCCAAACGTTATGCAAGATTCTGTAGGAAACAGCAATCCCCATAAGAAGCACACCTTGAAATCAACTTTAGAATACCAACCTAGCTTTTCCGTGATTTCTTTTGTTTCGTCCACAGACGGCGCAGTAACCGTGCTTGCATTTCGTGAGTGAAGAATGTTCTCCAGAACCTTTGCTTGGTCTCCAGAAGGGACTTCTGAAAGAAAAGCAAATTTCCAGTTGGTGCTGAGGGTTGGTGTTACAGTAAAACGCTGGTGGTGATTTGCCGGTGTCGATATTGTACTACAGTTTCAATCAATCAATCAATCAATCAATCAATCAATCAATCAATCAATCAATCAATCAATCAATCAATCAATCAATCAATCAATCAACCAGAGATTTCTACAGATAGAAGGCATGCACCGAGAACTTTTTAATCTGGATTGAAGAGCATCGTGGAATTTAACTTGCTCCGTGGGAGTGGAGGGAAATAAATCATCACCACACATTACTGAAGCAGAATGTCGACAGGTTCTGAAAAGGATACCCGTGGAAATTCATATAGTCTGTTATTACCACCTGCTGAGAGCCCGTTTTAAGAATTTTATGAACACTTCTTTGAGAACGTTTTGTGATATATATGCCCTACATGAGATGGCAGAGCATGATATATGAAAATTAAGCTTAAATAGTAAATTAGTACAAATCTGGCAGTGTATTTGATCTAGCTAGCTGTTTGATCCTTCCAGATAATTTGCAATTCCAGCGTTCTTTAAAAAAAAAATCCTGCCTTAGCCAACTGCACCGAAAGCATCTTGGACTGTGCCTATTTTGTAGGCCCTTCAGTATTCTACATGCTAACGAGCGTAGTGAAAGCAAGGCATTATGCTTACTTATCAATATTATGTGCCTTTAACCTAGAACGTATAATCCGCAGAGGGATGGATTTCCCTCACTCGAAACCAACACATGCATAAGAGGATTCGCTCATTGCAACAATATCCGACAAGTACATCTACAGCTACCCCCGTCGCCGCTATCACTTCTCTAAAATATTCAAGTCGGCCATCCACGCACGTACTTCCTTACAAAAAAAACAAAAAAAAAAACAGCCCACTAGCGACAAGTGGCACGAGTGCCGGACCCTGTCAGCACACCGTCACATGGGGCAGCCACACCGGGGTACACACCGACTCAGTTGTCTCAATAAGCGCAAGCTAGCAGTCGCCAAAAGTTCTAAACGTATTGCGGCGCTGTCACTTTTCTGCGAGTTTTAATGCGCCATCAACGCGAGTGAAAAAAGCATGTATGTCAGCATTAATTCTGAACAAATCAACGAAGAGTGATGTAATCTGTAGAAGAAAAAAAAAAGAAGTGAACTTTTCTTTGAACACTTCATGCCATGTAATTAAATGTCAAGTGTGGCCCCCAATAGATAAGCATAAAATATTTTATTTGGGAATTATGTTCAACAGCGACAATACAGTCCCTCGACCAGAATCAACAAGGATCTGTCTTAACTATCCACAGATATTTTTACCTCCAAATGTCTAAAAAAACACCCATGATAGGAAAAGAAATGTATAGAGTATGGAACAGGTCGTAAAATTTGTAAGTAGAAAAAATATGTATTAGCCATTTTATTGTTCATCTTGTCAATCTGTGTGATCACTGTCATAAAGGTGCGTAAGCGTATACCATATTTCAGATTTCAATCTCTATTACAGCATGTTGCGGCGGCTTGTCTTCAAAAATGAAACAAAAATTGGGCGTATAGACAAAGAAAGAAAGAAAGAATGAAAGAAAGAAAGAAAGAAAGAAAGAAAGAAAGAAAGAAAGAAAGAAAGAAAGAAAGAAAGAAAGAAAGAAAGAAAGAAAGAAAGGCGAGGTGAACGTGGGACTTGTAAATACATCGGATGACCTTGAACTGATTTCTTGGCGTTATATGAAAGATTGAGTGATTGGCATGATACCCAGTCAAAGCAGACGGACACGTGGTGAGGAATCAGCGGCTTACGTGGTCACCTTTCTTAGCGAATATTTATGTTACATTGTGCTATGAACGCACTTTTTGTAGTTTGGTCAGCATGCGCACGCCTTTCCCCATTCCTCGTGCACCCGGACCCACAGACCAGGACCTCCCGGTCGGTCGCCTAACCTTTGGCGTTTCGTACGGTCCAGCACTATTTACTGCAAAAACCTGCGCTACCAGGCAATAAACATGGCGTAGTTCGAGCCCGGCGCAACATTGAGTTTTGAAACGGCTGCCGCAGCGCGCACGGCACGAGCCCAGACCCGAAATAGCCTGGCCGATGCAGGAACCGCGATGCAGAAGCACTGCGCGGCGGGGCAGCGCAAACGGGCGCCGTCAAAGGCGCGTCATCGCTGACGCAGTGATGGCGGCGCCTAGGCACGCGCGCTGTGCCTGGCCATGTGGGGAGTGGGCAGGCTAGAAGGGCTCTATTTACGGAGTGCATAAACCACTGCTTTCTCTTCAGCTTTTCGAGGCGCGTGAGCCGCTTCTCGTGTCCTGCTAAACTTGCTCGGTGAAACTGCAGCACAAGTATAGTGTTGCCATTTATTGTCCAAAGCTGATGCAGGCTGATTACTTAGATTTAAAACCAAAGTTGAGTCGTGATCTAACTGTACATGGGTTGAGCACTCGGAGAATAATTGCCTATTAAAATGGACAGTGCGTAACAACGTACTGAGCATGGACACACGTGGTTCCTTGATCTTTCATTCGCGCCCATGGCGTCGTGTTGCACACACAAATCGTTATTACGCGTTATTGATAGTCCCATTATGTGACGCGATCATGACTTCTCATACATGGCTGCACGTGTGTACTCGCTTCCTCCTCTCCATCTGACTCTTTGGTTCCCTTCCTTGCCAGGCTCGTCTTCCTCGGTGAGCGCTCGTTCCATCTACTGGGTAGATTATACGCTTTTTTTTAGCTCGTCCCTCATCGAATCAGCACGACGCGTGAAAAGCACTCACCCACTCGCACAGTGAAGTTCTTCCAGGCTTCGCCCAGGTCGTTGTACGCCTTGCAGAAGTAGCGGCCGCCATCGCGCGGCTGCGCGTTCTGGATCGTGAGCGCGTAACGTGACATGCGGACGTTCTCACGTGGTGGCGCCGTCGTCAGTTCGCTCTCTTCGTGATACCAGACCAAGTACGGGCGTGGTTGTCCTGAGACGGCGCACCGGAGCCGCACCGTGTCACCGGCCACTACCTCGTGCAGTGTCCTTTCATCGTCCTTTTTGAGGACCGGTGGACCTGCACAATCAATCAATCAATCAATCAATCAATCAATCAATCAATCAATCAATCAATCAATCAATTAACCAATCAATCAACCAATGTATAAAGTAACAAGGTGCAAGAAAAATTAAAGGCAGAGTAAACAGATTAAATCTTGAGTTAAGACTTAGATGTTAGCAGCGCAATGACTGAGCCTAGCAGAACCCTCAACTCTAAACAAAGGACGACTCCAAGAGAGTAGAAAAGAGCGCAGTTGTATGGACTGGACAAGAGATCCGTGTAGCTGGTTCGTGATATTAATTAGACGTGCGTATAGGTTTTGTAGTGTGTATATAACACATGATTTATTACATTATCAGAATGGATGCCATGATACAAGAAGCGCAGTCCCGGGTCTTTCCTGAATGGGTAGGATTAAGAAAGTACCGGGACTGAATTAGAAAATGCAGATCAAGAATACGTTGCTGACAGATCCCTTCGATTGATAATTGATATGTGGGGTTTAACGTCCCAAAACCACCATATGATTATGAGAGACGCCGTAGTGGAGGGCTCCAGAAATTTCGACCACCTGGGGTTCTTTAACGTGCAACCAAATCTGAGCACACGGGCCTAAACATTGCCGCCTCCATCGGAAATGCAGCCGCCGCAGCCGGGATTTGAACCCGCGACCTGCGGGTCAGCAGCCGAGTACCTTAGCCACTAGACCACCGCGGCGGGGCGACAGATCCCTTCAGTAAAGTGGATGATTCTGAATAGCTGTGGGGAAAATAGACGCACCGGTTATTCCAAGACACGGTGCTTTGTTTATTATAGTTACATCCATTACATGAACATTATGTGCAGATTTTCGTTGAATCCAGAAAAGTGGCCCCTTTATTGCCCACTCGTCATCTGGAACAAGAGAGAGAACGTCGGAAACACCTTGGGTCAGACGCCACCACGTGGCATGAGACGCAAAAGGGTTCTTTCCCCGCGCCGCAGTTATGCGAGACTCCGGGACAAAGCGCCTCCGGGCACCGCGTCTCTTTCGCATGTCTGACAATGGCCCTTGCAGCGCCTTGCTCAAACACAAGGACGCAACCACTGTGACAGTTCACGCTAGTCCTGTGTATATACCTGCGCGTTCTTATCGAGCGTCCTTCTTTGTTCTTGAGCGGCACGCTTCAAGTATGTAGCTGCTTGTCCTATAATTACACCATTTCTCGATATTGCATTGATTAATTCGCCCTTGCGGCGAAATTGTGACTTTTGCCCCTTCTGCGCCTATGTCGTCCCATTATCAGCTTCTTTTGTTGCCTTTATTTCCCTTGCTGTTTATTCGAAGGCACAATTTAGGTAATTACTTCCAGAATAGTCCGCTGTCTTGTGCTTTATTTTTCTTTTCGCGATTTAGAGAAGCACAGCGTGCTTTGACCACTGGTCCTTTTTTTTTAGCTGATAACGCCTTTTATACTTGACCAGTAAATAATTGTGATTGTGAGACAGGGCCTCTGACTGCACTTGTATTCCTTCGTACGAAATTTGCCATATACTTCACTGTTTTAAATTTAATTCTTGGTTTTAGTTCGCTGCAAGTGGAGTTAGCAGGAATGGGCCTGTTAAGCGTCTCTATAGCGGTCTTCGTTGTTAGACGGCTACATGACATCTGCTGCTGGTTACATTTTTCACTAACAGGAACCGAAAACAGAAAGCTTTTCGCTCGTAAGTAGCATGGTTAACTATATACGTTCATAGTATCCCAATTTGCTTACCACCTGAGCCTGAGAACAATTGTAGCGCAAGGGCGCGTTTGGGAACAGGTGCACATGGAGCGAGTATTTGTGTGAATTAGGGCTAAGAAGCGCACCAGTAAGCGTCCGCCGATCTGTGCGTTTTATAAATGCTAAGACAAAAGGCGTGATTGCTTTTTTTTTTTTTTGCTCTGAACTCTGCCTTACGGTGAAAACAATCTCCTTTACACGCAGGCTTTTTTAAGAAGTTGTCTAACACGAAATTATCTAGGAAATTCCTGCATTGTTAATTGAAATGTTCCGCATCACAGGTCTTGCATCGTGTGAATAATAACTAAAGGACTGCTGAGGACAAGTGGCGCAAGTTTAAATTCCCAGGAGGAAATAAAAAAGAGTGCAGAAGAGTGCCCTTTCTGCGAATTTACCATTTAACCTCATCTTCGTAAACTATGCAAAAACGAGCACAGACAGTATACCCTTTTAAATCATTGGTACTGCGTACTGTATTGCTTGATCAATTTGATTAGATTTAGCCGACGAAATGGGTACAGAGGGACTCCCGTCAGATGTCTTTTATTTGGGCCAATATCGATCACAATGGTATTATCGGCATGAACTGGGATGACACACGACTTGCACACCTTTGCACAACGCCCTGTTTATGTGTCTGCGGAGGTGGCCGAAAGTGGCATCAGTTTCTTCCTTGAAAGCGGCAGGTAATCGGTGCTTTGACTTCCGTTGACCGATTCTTTTGTATTCATCCGCTGTTTCGTTGCCATAGTTAAAAGCATGGCGAGGCATACTCAGTGAAAGGCAAACTTATTCTCTCTTTGTTTTTAACGTATTTTTTTCAAGCTGCAGACTGCCGACAAAACTTATGCGAAGGTGTCTCAACAAGCAAACTGTACTGTCTCAAATCTTAATGTGAACACGATGGAATTCCGGGCGAAGGACATCATTTCAGCTTTTTTTCTGTTTCTTAAACCTACAATTCATTAAATGAATAGAGTGTAATTATTTTTTACATTTAGTTGTTTGTTTTTCTTGTTTATTATAGACGGCATGTGCGACGGCGAATGCTCCGGCAGTATTAAGGGCGAAATGAGGGGATGCACTTTCTGGGCGAAGTCTTCGTGTGGCTGACGTTTGATGGGCACACAATGCTCCTATGAAGTGCATGCTACAGGGCGAAGTTTCAGCCTGAACGCCGTTGGAACACACACACAATTCGAGTTACCCTTCCACAGTGGCTTAATGGAAGGTATAGGTTTGCTGGCACCACATGTGCCCTCAGCTATAGTCTATATTCAGTGTGTTCAGGGCCAAAATTATTTGAAAGAAAAGCGAAATGCGAGCGAGGAAGCTGAAGCTGTCCCGTAAAAAAAAAAAAAAAAAAACCTGCGTTAAGCGTCGCGAAGTCTGTGAAAAAGAAAGGATTTTTTAAAATTTGTGAGCGTGAATGAGCGGATGCTGGACACTACCAAAATCACCAAGATACATTGCTTATGCAAGATCGATGTATATTATCGCGCGGTGCCGACCATTATCCTAAAGAGTTATAAGGTTGACATGTTTACACCTAACAGTGGCTGTCAAATATAACTTTTAAATTTGTGAGCGTGAACGAGCGGATGCTGGACACTACCAAAATCACCAAGATACATTGCTTATGCAAGATCGATGTATATTATCGCGCGGCGCTGACCATTATCCTAAGGAGTTAAAAGGTTGGCATGTTTACACCTAACAGTGGCTGTCAAATATAACTTTTAAATTTGTGAGCGTGAACGAGCGGATGCTGGACACTACCAAAATCACCAAGATACATTGCTTATGCAAGATCGATGTATATTATCGCGCGGTGCCGACCATTATCCTAAAGAGTTATAAGGTTGACATGTTTACACCTAACAGTGGCTGTCAAATATAACTTTTAAATTTGTGAGCGTGAACGAGCGGATGCTGGACACTACCAAAATCACCAAGATACATTGCTTATGCAAGATCGATGTATATTATCGCGCGGCGCCGACCATTATCCTAAAGAGTTATAAGGTCGACATGTTTACACCTAACAGTGGCTGTCAAATATAACGACTCTGATTGTCTCATTTTGTATCTGGTATAGCCTCCGCTTCCAGGGACACAGCCTGAGCGGCGCCTGGCAACGTAACGAACCTTTCTTCGGCTCTATTCATTTTCCTAACCTGTGCTGCAGGCCTTTCTGCGCAACGAAAAAGGGCATATTGTAAAAATAGCAGGCCGACTCCAGCGGGGCGAGCTCCGCGTAAGCGCTGCAATCTGCTCACTCTCTTCCCGCCCGAAGCCCCGCCGCGCCCATCGCCACTTGTTCCACCTCGCTGAGTCCACACATCAGCAGCGCGCGCACCTTTACCGCCCAGCGCCAGCTTGACAGCCTGGGCCGCGGCTGTAATTCGTCGAGTCCACCTCAGAGTTGCGTAATGTAAATCTGCCGCGCGACGCGGGGCCAAACACGGGGCGTGTCGCGTCGAGGCAGGAAGCGCGCGCGTCTATTCGAAATGCATGTATTCCGAGTTGCATCCTGCGGTCGGGGAGACCCGCTGTCGTGATCTGTCGGCGAGGTTTTCGGGTGGAGCGCTGAATTCGCGATGACACCGAAGAATACACGAGAAAAAGAAATACTGGCACGACCTTTGGCGAAGCGAGTAATGAAAGGCGCGAACACGTCGGAGAGAAAAAAAAAATACTATAGCGCGCATCGGGACGATCAACTATAGTTCCTGAAATGGCGTCGTTCGCGCAACCCGATGGTATCGGTTCCCCGAATCGCTAAATATGCTAAAGTATTCGGCGATGAAGCGAGGCAGTTGCATTTTTTATTACAACAGAGAAAAAAATATATAAAGGATGGAAGGGCGGGGAAGGTGCTTTCTGTCATTGCACGAGAAAGAAAGGGCCGTTTAACGATATTCCATTGATAACAGCTCGAGTATGATAAGCTCAAGAATAACGGGAGATTGTCGAAGTGTAAATGAACCGATCGAGTCGTTTAGTCCGGTGCTTGCGCTGCATCGATTGTGTCGTAGCATAGTCGTTAAGCCAGGCCGAGTTCATTGAGCTTCGGAAGTTTAGTTCGCATAACTTTTTTTCTTCGTAATAGCTGTTTGAAAGTGGCCGGCCGACCCCGCTAACAATAAGGTGAGTATCACAATTGGCTCGCACCAGCACTTGCGAAAGTTATGACGCAATAACTGTGTTTAAACTAACACTTCTATGGAGCGTGAAATATTCTGTCGATAA